CCTGGTATCCATTTCATTCCACTGGACGTCCGAAAAAAAAAAAAAAAGGACTAGTTAGTCATCGGAGGACTTCACAGATCACAGTCTGCTGCCGCCTCTTTACCTGAGGTATCCCATAATTCCTCATTTTCTTAACAACATCCCAGGTGGAGTCGCTGGTGTTGTAACCCCAGCGACACAGGTGGTACCCTAACGCCCAGTAGACGGGCATCGCTGGGCGGCCTACAGAGAAATGAAGAAAGATGAAGAAAAGTCAGGCAATAAATGGTTACCATGGTTACCACAAACTTCAGACTAAACACAAAATAATGATGTCATGTATTTTCTATTTGGGAAAATAAATCTGTCATGAAGGTGAATCCACTACTGACCTATAACGTCCACATACTGTTCAACAACAGAACCAGGATCAGGACCAAGGAAAATGTAAAAGTCCAGGATCCCACCGATGGTTCTCCAGGTGACTGCTGGAGCTGGCTGGAGAACCACATCTGAACAAAAAGAAAGTACGTTAAAAAAAAACAAAAAAACACAATTCCTACCTCTGGAAAATGACTGTCTGAACCCACAAAGTATATCTGTATATATCTATAAATATATATATCTAAGTATATGACGGTGTAATACTGCATTACTGTGTTTTACTACATAAATAACACATAAAGAAGACGTCAGCTGTTAAAGAGTTAAACTAACTTTTAACTGTTTTCCACTCAGACAGACAGATATAAACATGACTCAGTTGAACTGCTGTCACATGACCAACACTGACCGTCAGCTCTGAGGTCACATTCTTACATGAAGTATAGCACGTAATGAAGATTGAAGCAGAAGTGTAAGGAGGAGTGGGGGAGGGAGGGAGGGAGGGAGGCAGGGGAGGGGCACACTGACCCATGGCGTTGCTGTTGAGAAGAAAAAAGCCGTGTGCAGTTCCTCCTTCCTCCAACGCGAGGTAAAACGGATGAGCGCCGTACAAATTGGTTTGTTCCTGTGTTGAAGGGAGGAACACACAGAGGTGGTTGTCATGACGACCCTGTCATTAATTCCTGTTCAGTGAGGTCAAACCGCAAACAGCAATCCAACAAGTTCAAACTGCAGACTGAATCCAGAGACGACGACGACGACGACAACGACAACAACAACAACAACAACGTACACAGACACCAGGTCCAACGTACCGTAGGAGGCACGTCTCTGGCCCACATGGTGAGCGTGTTCCAGTGGACGTCATGAAGAAAGGTGGACCGATGTTCTCCCAGGCCGTAGATGAACTGAGTGAGCAAAGAGGAGGAGAACTGAAGGAACTGATCGGCGTAGAAGAGAGGAGCCACCGTGGTGTTCAGACTTTAAAAAAAGAAGCACAGAGAGGAGCGGTGTTAATGGTCACAGACACAGAGTTCTGGTAGTCAACGTGGGCTGCACTCACAGCACCGCTCCAGTGGACCTCCTCTTCACAACCAGACCAAAAGGCTCTTTTGAAAAGTCCACCACGTAGTCTGGACTCTCAGCCTTCTTGGTGGAGGTGGGGACAGAGATGGGGACTTCAAACCGTGGGGTGGAGGGGTCGGTGATCTAGAAGAAAAAAATAAAGGCTTTGAATTAAATCTACTGATGAACTGGTTCAGATTAATGAACTGGATGATTATTATTAAAATGATATCTTTATAATTAGGGCATGTTTTCACCTAAATATGTCAATTATTTGATGTTTGAGAGTTGGTTTAAAAAAAGGTTGTATGTGCAGATAAAACTGGGTTAACTGACGACACAGGATGAAATTCAACAACAGCATTATGGAAAAAAAAAAGTAACAAAACTTTCACAAAGTTTTTTTTCTTCTTATGAAATATGAAAAACATTTTTAGATACCGCAAAAACCAGTGACAGAGGAAAAAACCACAATAAAAAAGACATTTAAACGACTTGACTCACCCTAACACGTAGCCTTGTGTCCGTCTCGTGTCTTATCTCCAAACCCAGAGTGAGGACGTCTCCTGGGTAGTAGGTTCTGACTTCCCTGACCAGCGTTCCTTTTTGCCCCACAGATGTGTCATTTATTGACACGAGAGAGTAAGAGGGGAAGTCTGACGGATAAAAACACCAGGGGATGCCGTTCCTCCCAGATGGGTTGTTGGCAGAGGGGAGTCTGGAGGAGGCGGGAATGAAGCAGCATTTTCTTGCCTCGCACATCTGTCTGGTCACAACCACGCCCCGTTCAGGGTAACAGTCAAACCTACAGGCTTCCGGAATCAAACTACAAGCCACACGACGCAAATCAGCTTTAGTGTCGTTAACAACCAGACCGCCGTCTGCCGGGGCCGGGGCCGGGGCCTGGCCCGGCGGTGGAGGAGGTCTCAGGGAGTCGTGGTGGTGAGGACTGTGCAGCCAGAACATGGTGCCCACCAGCCAGCTTAAACGCAGGAGCAGCAGCAGGCAGCCAATGACCAGCAGCCCCGGGGTGATGGAGCACGACTGCGGTCGGGCAAGAAGGGAGGTCTCCTCGGGTTCTTCCAACACCTCAGAACAAGCCAGGAAATGTTAAGGCAACAAAATGAGCACAACAACAGCAAAGCAGTCGCTGTACAGTGTTAGAATATTAGTCTGTAATTAACACATTCACAAAGTGAAATTAAACACAGGAACTGGGGATTTTCTGACCCTAAACTTATAATAACAACCATAAACTAAACATAATAAAAAGATAATACCTCTTACAGTAATACTCT